GTTGGGGCTCAGGATGGACTCGTGCTCATACACGGCAGCAACATAATGCCCCTCCCTCCTGACTCTTCCTGAGACAGCTTGATAGAAGAGAAAGCAGACAGACAGCTCCCAGCACAGATGCACCATGGTGTGGGCCATAAATCTAGAGGGGGGAAAAAAGAAAATGGGCCGGGGGGGGGAAACTTGAGCAAAATATCACGCCAGGATTTTAAATTTACGATTAAATATGGACAGTAACTGACACTCTTAGCAGGGTTTGAACTGAGTATGGTGTTTTTAAATTCCTGAATGACCACGTGCATATTGTTTCTAAATCTTAAATAATAGTGCTTTAAATAACTGTTTCCTGTTTAAAAGCATTTTAGCTTTGTATATAGTTCTACTGACCTCTTTTCTTGGTCTCCCTTTACAGTTAACTTTAACATTCATTTATAGATTACTTCACCATATACCAAAGCATCTTTGGAAAAAGTTAAAAGCAGCTCACAAATTTGCACCTCCTCCCCTGTTTGGTGATGGGGGATGTATTTAAAAGTAGCATTTCCTAAAATTACTTGAAAACTGTATTTAGTAGTCAAGTAGAAATAGAACTTATTCTATCAGTACTGAAACAGATGATTGCCAGAAAAACTATACCAGACACTAGTTCTGCATTTATCCTTCTATCATGAAAATGCCTCTCCTAATGGATTATGGATTCACTGCCTTCCAACTCCACATATGTTAAAGGCAAATATTTTTCCTACAGTGCAGCTTTTTTGAACATCTATAAAAATGTTGAGTGCACTTCAGATCTGCATTCCTCCTGTACAGTGCAGATGAGTAAGGTTAAAAATGCTTTCATATTAATAACAATAAATCAAAAATTCATACAAAAAGGAGAAAATTTGCATTACTGAGCTTTCCTTAGAAAGAAATTAAGAATTATTGACTCTGGAAGGCTGGGGCACTCTGCAATATGTGGGCCATGTAGCCTTTTGACTTCCCAAATTAGGAAACTACTCATACAGACTGACAAATGAACGCGACACTTCAGAAATACTACAGCAATGCTCTTTTCTTCAGAATTATTCTCACAGTATGAGAATTCTGCATCTATCACCACATGGTTACTAGTATCACTAAGGAATTAAACCTCAAATATCTGTGAAGTTGAAGGAGCGTGCAGGATAGATGCACTAATGCTATGTATTGACAGCCCACAAGGCCAGTCACTGACTTGTTGATTGCATTTGCTCTTTGGGAACTCTTATCCAAGAAAAGAAGTGCTCCAAAATGCTCATAATGCCCTGCAGTCTTTGTAATCCACTACTCCTGAATTTTTCCAAAGCAAATACAGACTGACAGGCACATGCATGAAGAGCCTTCTCTCATTCCTATTAGGAGTTCAGCAGGAAAAAAAAGATCAATTCTAAACTAATCCCAGTCTTATTTTTACTCATATTATACTAATTGTAGTTTTGCATCTAAAGAAAGCCTATGGCAAGTTAACTGAAAACATCTCTTTGCTTAAATTCCAGGACAAAAAACAGCTTATTGAGCAATTCTCAATATTGCTGTGGGTTTGTTTTTTACCTAAACACCAACAATGAGCAAATTGAAGAAAAATACAGTAAGTACTTAGTTTAAGTCACTTGTTTACTTCCACGAGTTCTACATGCCATTAGCAACGCTAGTTTGATAGCAACACAATCTCATGTAGGTCAGCAAAATCATAACCTTAGTGCCCACGGCAGGCAGGAGGTATGTTTGCTAAATCCAAAAGTTTTAACATGTAATAATAGCACTTGAAAGGGTCTAGGAGTAACTTAGGTATTTGATGCGGCTAAACTCAACTACATATTCATATTTCCTTGGTGTCCACACATACATGCCTTCAAGGGTAAATTTATTTAAAGAACAATAAAAACAGAATAAATCCTAGGCATCTCTGTAATCAGATGGATTAAAGATACTGCATTTATATAAACAGTTTTGAAGTGATGTACAATAAGCTACCCTTGCTATTCTGCATCTTGAGGAAAACACCCAGTAGCTATGAGGGGTGATCTGGCAATGCAAATCAAGAACAGGGGGGTCTGTCTTGTGTATCTCAGCTTTGAAAATGAAATGCCAAAGCACGTGTGAAAATATAAAGCAATAGCAGAGGGAGGGAGAAGAGGGGTGGGAAACCTCTCACAGTTAAGGAACCTACTGAAAATAAACAAACGCTGTGGCACTTCACTGACAAAACAGTCTTTTCTATTTCTGTCGCCCCTTCAGAGCCAAAATGCCTATTTAGGACAGGAATGGGTTCTAGCCAGCTGCTCTTCACTAAAGCTGTCAACTAAGATGTAATTAGAATTCATCATTATAAGGGATGGAAAGAGTTGGAGAGTTTCAGATCATGGGATGGAATTGCTGTGTATTAGAAAAACTGCCTTTTTGCCTTCTAAGCCAAACACACCAACAGAAAAAATCAACACGCTTCTACAAAATGGTGTATTTTACAAACATGCTTGGAGAATTCTTATTTTTCTGCCACAGTTAATTTTCTGGTGGTCAGAAGGACTCAAAGGTATGAATCTGAATCCCTTCCTCATTTAGATGCACAAGAGGTTCAGCACTGAACGTGCAACATGCACACGATCCCATCTGGCGAAACCTGGGCCAACTAAAATAATAACTACAATAATTCCTCCAAGTCCTTTCCCTTGGCTGTAATTACTGCTAGTACTGCTAATGGGTGAGCACTTGTGCGAATGCTCCCCAAAGCCCTTCCCCCTGTTTGACATCTTAAACAACTGCTGTCTAATGGATTGCTCTTTACAAGGAGAGCAGTGACAGGCCCCATGGCTGGGCTTGGATATGTTAACCTTTCCAGCAAAATAAGGATAGCAGTGGGGTTTACTCAGCCCTTAGGCAGCTGAGATTTCAAATATGTCTCTGCCACATTCTGGATTTTTTTCTTCCTGGAAAATGCTACACCATCTAATAAATCCTTTCCTTAAGGAGAAGTTAATTTGCTTAGGGTCTATAGAGCTGTCACCTCACCTGAGCTACGACTTTAAATTTTCATGAACTGGAATGCTTTATTAATTTTATCTTTTTTTCTGTCCCTTATCTGTGATTTATGTGGTCTGCTGCCTGGCAGAGAGGCTCCAGCAGGATCATCTCACCCAAATACAAATATTTCATAGCAGTAGTATTGTCATCCAGTCACAATATTCCAGTTATATTCCTTCTACACAAAGGGTAAAAAAACTGGTGTTTGAGTTCAGATGCCAAGTTTTCCCTGCAGACCCGTTGCAAACTCTTCCTATTCAGGTTTTCAGAACATCTAATCAACGAATTCTGTTGTTTATGTCATGAAGTAAAGCATCACGTCATTTGCTTTTCAATGGCTTTAGAAAATTTAGAGTGTCATCTCTCACCACACCTGGATGTATACACAGAAAAGCAACACCTACCCTGCTTCTTAGTACTTCTGTACTCACGATAATCCAACAGACTATAAAAATAACAGAGGTAGCACAGCACTAGTCTGGGTCCTCTTAAGTGATTAACAGCAAATGCATGTTAGGCCATGCCCGACATATAGTATAGTCACATAAACAGTACCAATAAGTAACGTAATAGCAACATAAGGAGTAATGACAATAACATAAAAAGTAATTATTACTAGGCAAACGTTAAATTGCTATAAAAAAATAAACACTTTTTTCACATTGTATGATATACATGGATTGTGATAGTATAATAATATATATTATACAACATATAATAACAATATATATAGTGAAATTCAGGGGGTTTTTTTCCACTGATACATACTGTCTACTGCATTTATTTGCTACATCAGATTACACTATTACGTAGGTTTTACAAAGGCTTTATGTTATCTATGTTTTGTTAGCTACTTTTTTGTTGTTGTTTGGTGAGTGAGGGCGAAGGGAAGGCTGCTATCCTTAGGGGTTTGGCTGGACAAGCCGAGGGCGGGGCAGGGACATGTTGTCAACCGTGTCACTTCTGCAACGCGTGCCGGGATGGGCCGAGCCAGGAAAGGGGTGTGCGCCACCCTTCCGCTGGGATTTTGGGAAGATGCCCCACGCTCCTCCCCGTGAGCGCCGGCGCCGGGCACCCCCACCCCAAATCCTCCCCTGCTTTGCCCCGCTCCGCGTTTGCCACCTCTGACCAATCCCACCGCGCCGGAGCGAGGCCCTGCGCCTCACCCAGGCCTTCGGGGCCGCGGCCAGGCCGGGCCGGCACCAAGCGCGCCTCCCGCTCTCCGAGGCCGCTCCCCCCCCCCATCCCGCCCCTCCGCATCCCGCCCCGCTCCCGCCTGGAGCCGGGAAAGCCCGGCCCGCGCCCACCTCGCGCTGGGGGCCCGCGCCTCCCGGGCTCCTGATTGGCCACCCACTCTGGCCAATCGGGAGCTCCCCCAGGCCTCGCCCCCAGGGTGGGGGCGGTACCGGCGGTTCTGGGTCCCGCCCCCGGCGCCTAATTGGCCAGGCGGGCTGTCAGTCACCTGCCGCGACCCTCGGCCGGGCCGGTGCGGCGGTGCCGGCGCGATGGAGGGCGAGGCGGTCAGCGGGGCGCAGCTCATCGCACAGGCCCTCCGGCAGCAGGTGAGGGCGCGGGGCCGCAAACCAGCGGGCAGGGACAGCGCCGAGTGCCCGCGGAGAACGGGTGTGCGCGGCTGGACTCACCGGGAGTGGGCGGGAAGGGCTGGCCTCGCCGCTGTGTGGGAGGGAGGGAGGGAGAGAGGGAGGGAGGTCCCGCCGCACGGCCCCGGGAGCGACCTGGCCCCGCCTGGCCCCGGTGCTGCCGGGCACCCCTGAGCTGCTGACCCGGGGGCAGCGTTCCACGGGCCTGCACTGATTCCTTTCTTCGCCCCTTCCCGAGTCCCCGTTACCGCCAAGCAATGCCGGCAGCCCTCTGCAGCTCTTCCCGTGGCAGCTGGATGTGCCTCCTGCGCCTCCTTTACGTTTAGCAAAGCTCTGTGTTGGCCCTGAACTCGAGCTGGTGGTGACCTGACACCGGCCTTGAGAGAAGACTTTGCCTTTTAGCCTGTGACGCACAGAGAAAAGGAGCTCGCTTGTAATAAAAATAAGCACGGTCTTCTTTATCTCTGCGTTTCTTTGTGCACGGTACTATTCCAGTTATTGCCTGGAGCCTTTTTGGTGTCAGTTTTCTGTGAAACTGCGAGAACATGAGATGCCATGAGAGGAGATGAAGCTGACTTACCGGGAAACAGAAAAGTGACAAAGTCCCAAATGAGAACTGATCTGCAGAAAGCACTGAACGTATGTTGACTGAGGCACTGAACCATTGTCCTACTCCTTGTGGGCCTCCAAAATCCAGGGCTTTCACAACCTCAGAGGGCTGAGCTGCAAATACCGGCTGGCACTGTGTATGTTTCCACAGTGACCTCTAAACTTCTTTGTGACTATATATGTTGTTACCTTTTAGTTTTAGGCTGCCTGTGTTGTTAGCATGTCTGTGTTTGGCATGTGCTTATTATAGCTGTCTTTCGGGGGAAAAAAATCTGATTTCTTTTAACATTTTTCTTTATAGAATATTGAATACATGTTTGGCATTGTTGGTATTCCAGTCACTGAAATTGCAATTGCAGCCCAGGCAGCTGGAATAAAATATGTGGGAATGAGAAATGAACAAGCTGTAAGTATATATCTATAATGAGACCAATCCTTACCTGAAATGTTTTACAGTGGAATGAAACCCAGTTTATGTTTTCTTACTAGGTAGAATGTGGTCTCTGAATGTTAATTTCTGAATTTTACTTTCTTTTTTTACTCTGAATTTTACTCTGAATTTTAATTTCTTTATGACCTACCTCTTTACTTTTTTTCCTTGTCTATGTTCTGTTCTTAAGTGCCTAAAGAGGAAAGTTTTCCTACTAATTGATAAGCTTGTCCTGAGAGTTTAAATAATTATGATTTTTTTCCCTTAACAATTTTCTAAATGCTCACCAAACAGTAAACCACAGAAAGTTATACTGTTCCTGAATGCTCAAAATCAAGCATGAACATACACTTAGACTCTCTTAGTTATATATATTTCAGCTTTGTTGTGTAGGTGTCAGAAATTAGACTCAGGCTCCTCAGCATTTTCACAGAATCGCAGAATCAGTTAGGTTGGAAAATATCTCTGAGCTCATCGAGTCCAAGCTTTGACTGAACACCACCAGGTCAACTAGACCATGCCAATAAGTGTCACGTCCAGTCTTTCCTTAAACTCCTTCAGGGATGGACTCCACCACCTCCCTGGGCAGCCCATTCCAGTGTCTGATCACTCTTTCTGTAAAGAACTTCCTAATGTCCAAACTAAACCTTTCCTGTTGCAGCTTAAGCCCGTGCCCTCTTGTCCTGTCACTTGGGAGAAGAGAGAGATTTCCCCCACCCTCACCCCCTGGCTACAACCTCCTTTCAGGTAGTTGTAGCGAGTGGTGAGGTCACCCCTGAGCCTCCCCTGCTCCAGGCTGAACACCCCAAGCTCCTTCAGCCACTCCTCACAGGACTTGTGCTCCAGATCCTTCAAAGGCAGTTTCATTACCTTTGTCTGGACCTGCTCCAGCACCTCAATATCCTTCCTGAACTGAGGGGCCCAGACCTGGACACAGCACTCAAAGTGCGACATAACCAGTGCCGAGTACAGGGGCAGAATCCCTTCCCTGCTCCTGCTGGCCACACTGTTCCTGATACAGGCCAGAATGCCATTGGCCTTCTTGGCCACCTGGGCACACTGTTGGCTCATGTTCAGCCTCCTGTCGATCAGCACCCCCAGATCCCTTTCTGCCTGGCCACTCTCCAGCCGCTCTGTTCCCAACCTGGAGTGCTCCATGGGGTTGTTGTGGCAATCATTTTGATGTTTTGCCACTAGTTCTGGATTTGTTTGTTTTTCCCCAGTAGTAAAAAATTCCTTAGTCATTCAGTAGTTCCTTAGGTGGTCTGGGGCTGAAGATGGTAAGTTCAGGTTTAGACCTCATTTTCAAGGGTTGCTGCACAAGCTGTAACTGCCAGTTGTGGGAGTGCTGGCAAACGGACCATCAGTTTCCCTTACTCAGAGTTGCTCTGCAACCTTTGTCAGTTTTCCATAATTGATGCCAACCAGTAAATAAATTTCTTGAGTATTATCTTACCAGATTTTTCTTGTGTTTTAATTTGCTTGTGGGTCTGTCTCCTATGAATACTATTAATTAGAATTTTACCACTTTAACACAAGAAAGTCCTTCAGATATTCTGGACCTGTATTTTGCAGCAGTGTTCTTTTTTATGTTTTCTACCGTGTAGTTCATAGCCTTTGTGGATTGTCCCAGTCCTCAACAAAGTATTATAACAGTAGTTCAGTTAACAGTGGTCATGAGTTGTGTGTTTTTGCTATCTAATCCTTACATTCTTGTATTGGAATGTGGAAATTTAGAGGAATGCATGTCTCTGTGGAAAATCTGCAACATATGAGAAAGGCAAGTATATACAAACATGTTTAAAAGGTGTATTTGATTCCTTGAAGGACTGGGAATTCAACACAGCCTTTATATTCCTGTAGGCCATTTAGCAAATATTCTAGTTGTGGCCGTGGTTATTAACACACTTAAAATTAATGTCCTCATATGTCTGTAATTAACAGGGAAGATTGTTTTGCACTGCCAAATGAGATGCTGTCGTATTTATCATCCTTTTTTCACTCTACAAGAGTCTAATAGAAAAGAAACACTTTGCTGTGTAAAAGATTAAATGCTTTTGTTTAGTGGAATGAAAATTACATGAAGACTTGTTTTAGTATCAAAATGTCAGGGTTTGTCTTCTTTAGGGACTGGAAAAAGATGAATAAAGATATGTCTTGTACTGAGTTTTGGTTTGGTTTTTATCCTCACTGAAGAAACAGAGTAACTGGTTGGCAGAGGAGAGGGTGAAAGGTTATATAAAGTATATTCAAGATACACTCAATATTTACACATCATAGTCTTAAATGTCTAAGTTTATTAGTTGTGTGGTCTGGCTCTGGAGAATGTGCATACAGCTGCTTTCTTTATTGGTAAGGGCAGCTGTGTATTATCTATATGGAAAATTAAGGGGTTTTTTTCCAAGGGTCGAGTTTCTGCCTCATTTCTGGGCCAGATGTAGCCAAACCATTTCCTTGTAGAACTGCTAAAATTCTAATTAACAGTGCTCATAGGACACAAGACCCATAAAGAAGTTAAAACACAGGAAAAAAAACCTCAAGACGATAATCAAGCACCGTATGTATTGGTTGGCATCAGTTGTGGAAAACTGACAAATATTCTTGACAAAATTATCCTGATGTCCTTATGCTGCCTGGGAAGGTGGTGGAGTCACCATTGCTGGAGGTGTTCAAGAAATGACTGGACCTGTCACTCAGTGCTGTGGTCCAGTTGACAAGGTGGTGGCCGGTCAGAGGTTGGACTTGATGATTGTGGAGGTCTTTTTCAACCTAAATGATTCTGTGATCCTGTGAAAAGCCCATAAAACTGCAGAATAGAAGACCAGATTAAAGCATGAAGTTAAAAGATAAGTAGCGCTACCAATAGCCGTGAGCCAATCTCCCATGGCCTGTAATATGGCCTAAGTTTGCCTGGAGCAGTTTGACCTGCATCCAAATGCCCTTTGAACACTGAAAAGTTGTGTTGCAACTCCACAGCAGCATGTATTTTGTGTATCTGTCCCTGGGTAATTAGAGATTGCAGTGACTGCTTAGAAGATTGGTAACCCAGATGAATTTTAAACTTAAAAAATACACAAACCTTTAGTTACTAGATTGTTATTTGTCAGTAATGCACGTTGCTTATGTTTAGTTCCTAATCTTTAATAATAATTATCACTATAATATTCAAAGCAATCTCTTCTTGATATTCATAACCTCAGTTAGTTGGGAGTATACAGATATGCTGGAGCTGGTGCAGCTGTCAGGGGGATTGAGAACCCTTCAGGAAGGGCAGCTGGAACAAAAGTGGGCATAGTTTAGTCCACCTCCTACATTCAGGATCTTTTTTTATAAAACGTGTTGGTCTCTGAACAGATCTAATCCCTTGGCCTCCGTGCCTAGACCATGGACTATGTAGTGCAGGATGGTACTTTCTATGGCCCAGATCCTATTGCACATCTGTTGGAGTTTTTGTGTTCTGTTTTGGTTTCTCCTGTTGCTTAGCCATTGCTGCTTTACTCAAAAGAGTGTCTTCCCAGAGCTCAGTCACACTTTCTCAATAAGTTATTGGCCATTAGCTAATCATTTATTTTTGTGAGACTGCTGCTTTAAACCTGGTTCATTATTTGCAAGGCCTGGACTTAAGTTGCATGTGGTAACAGAAGACACCACATACTAAGCTCAGGTTCATACAGCAGGTTCTTTCTCATAATGAGTTATCACAAGCTGTACAGACCAGTCCTGGAACACTGAACATTAATTACAATTAACATGAGGGCCTCAGACCTGCTCCTAGGAGTGGCAGTACTGTTTTACCTGGGCTACTGGGTACAGAAATGCTTAACCATTGTTTACTCACTATGTTGTTTATATTTGATTTGAAAACAGACTAATTTAACCCTGCTTAGTGTCCTGTTTTAGTGGGAGGAACAGGCCTCTGCTTTGGCTGCAGTTCAAGCCCACTGCTCATGGGTGGTTGCAAGCTTTGAGTTGGGTGCCTACATCTAGACTTCCTACATTTCTTCCTAATGTTGATTGTGGTTTTGTGGGCAGTGGTGTTTTATATGCCTTGCTTGTCTGAGGGACACAAGGATCTCGTTTCAGTTGATCAACTGAATGTGACCATAACAGGTAATGAGTGCTGTTACTCACATTTTAGTGGTGAGGGTGCAAGATTCTTCAGTAAAATCACTCTTCTTTCTACTATTCACACCAAAAAATCTTTTAAGTATACCTTCAACATTATTTACAATCTCCTCTAAACACAGATATCTTTAGTCATGTTGCCTCCTTGCAGAATGAAGCAGCTAAAGTTTTAATGGCAATGACTGTACATGAATCCAAATTCTATGTGCTGCTTTATTTTGCCACTCAGTTCTAAAACATATTGCCATAGAAGCTCAACTCCATGCTTAGAGCTCCATTAACAAGATTTTTCGTAACACATACTCCAAATATTTCCAAACTTTTGCACACAGATATGTCATCAAATTGTTGTCAAATTCTTGAACACAAATGACATTTTTCTTCTCTGTGCCAGATGTGTATGAAAAGTAAAAAGAGGTTTTTCTTACCAGTTTTTTCCCAATAAGTGTTTATAAACTTGCTGAGTTCAGGACAAAGCACGAGAATATGAAAGAGTTGGCAATGTCACGTGCCACACTGCTGATAAGCTGTGTTAGCACATGTAGTAGATGCTTCTTTTGAGAAAATTATCAAAACACAATTTTTCTTTAAAATGTCCAAGTAGCTAAAGCAAAGTGTTATACTGGAGGTGGAGTAAGAAGTACTTCAGCAACTCAGCTTGTAAAAGACAAGCTCTATTCATCTAATTAATTTCTCCAGTGTGTTAGTTCAACCTTTTGCCTAATTTCTGACATACAGTGAGTCATTCCAGGGATGGCTGGATTTCTGCTTGTTGTCCTTCTCTTGCAAATCCCTCTTCCCTGGTAGTCCAGAGAGCATTGGAAGGCAGAAGTTTTATGCATTGTTTTAGTGTTGGGTGGTTTTTTTTGTTTGGTTTATTCTATCTTGTTGATTTTTTTTCTTTTTTAAATCCCAGAGATTCCTAATGTAATGTTCTGTAACAACAGGAGCCTGAAATGTGGAGAGGAGTCTTGAGATTTTTCACATAAATCTTCATGAACACACCTTACAATGGGGAGGGAGAAGGGGTACTTTTGCTTACATTTAAGCTCTGAAAATCAGGGAAGAATCCATATTTTCAGTATTTTTGTTGAAAGTTATGTACAAGATGTTATGAAATGTATACATAATAATAATAATAATTGTGTAATTAACTCCAATATTTTCAACAGGCCTGTTATGCTGCATCTGCTGTTGGATATTTGACTGGCAGGTACATTCCATGTTTATCAATCTTTATAATATAATTAAGTAAATATTAATATTGTAATATTAACTGTGTTAGACTTAACAGATGGAAACTAGAGAGGTTTGTCTGTTTTGGAGCTGGGACTTTTTAGTGTGTGCAGATGTAGGGCAGTTAAAACGGAGCATGAATGCTAAAATTTCAGTAACCATTACCAATATTTCTGTTGCAGTGACTCAGACCAGGAGCAAGGAGGTGCTTAAACTCATTTAATATTGACCATCTTATAACTTTCTTTATTTTTTTTCCCCTTTGATATCTGAATAGTAGCTTAACACCCTTGGTATGAGGGGCAGAAATCACACCACCATTGTTGGCTGCAACTTGGTGGACCTGCTATACCTCAGTCTCATCATCAGTGTGTATTGTTCAACAAAGACCTTACCAATACAAGCCTTCCAGTCTCCTGTGTGCTGCTCCTGACACAAAGTATTGCATTTTGCTATTAATGCTGTCAGGAAGCATTCAGTGGCCTGTGACTTGTGCTTCTTGGGTATGGATCCTTTTCTAAAGTGAATATCTGGTGTCTGCTCACTCAGAAGTGCAAACCCGATGATGCAGGTGGTCACTCCTTACTCTATCAGTGTGACAGCTCTGTTACGCAGTTTTGTAGTTTTTCTTCCTTTGAATAACCCTCTGGAAGTAAGCTGGGTTTTTTTGCTGATACATAAATAGTCTATAAATCTGCTAAGGAATGGTCATTTTTTATGTCATCACCTGCAATAACAAGTGCCTCTGCCTCAACTAAACTGTTATAAATTTGTGCTGAGTCAGATGCGCTTCTTCCTTTGTGAGCTTTGTCGCCGGTTTCTGCTGCTGAAGTGCAGTTGAGAAAACTGCAAACATAAGTGGTTTACCAAATTCCATATAAATGTTAGATGATGGAGTAAATGCAATAGAAGAGGTAAGGGGCTGTGTTAGGATAAACCTGTGCACATTGCAGACCTCTGTGTGGATGGCACATAACAACTGTTCCCTTGTTGTTGCAATTGGGTTGATACAGCTAAATGGTTTCTGATTTCTATGTCTTATCTACAGTCCTTCGTACAAATTCCTTGCCATTCACAACTTGTGATGACATGAGTGAAACTTTAACATTCCATATTTCAGCATTTTACTAATTTTCGTTGATGATTTATTTGGTGTTCCATGTGCTTACTTTCCTTTTCTCTCTCCCTCTTTTTCTTTTCATCTAGACCAGGAGTATGTCTTGTAGTGTCCGGTCCAGGTTTTTTACATGCCCTTGGTGGGATGGCAAATGCAACCATTAACTGCTGGTAATTTAACTGCATTTTCACTTTAAAATTCCAGTAATTGTGTATTGTTATTTGTTGCAGATGTTGAGTTCCACAGTGTTTAGTATTGTACTTCCTCTGCCCTTTCCTCTGTGGGTAGTGACAAGGAAATTCTTTACTTTTCAACCCTAAAAGTAATTTTGTTTCATTTCTTGTGATCTTATGGAGAAAATTCTCATTTTTTTGTCCTACCCCGTTGTGCACACATTAAAAAAATCTATCAGCATAGCTGGTTGTATGGGTACGTTTGAAAATGAAGTTGATGTTCAGCCTGTAATGCTTTATTGATTGTGGAGATTGTCTTAAAGGTTTTTTCTAAGTTTAAATCCTTGTTGCCTTTGAATTACTGTATTTCATATGTGAACGAATTGACAACTGCACTGTTAAAATTCCTATTTGCTTCCCACACAGACATTTAGAACAGTAATTAAGTATTGAGTTAAAGGATGTGCAGAGTGATAGTATTTACTCCTATAAACCTTCACTGAGACATGACAACTTCAGCTGGTCTGTTACAGAAAGGTGTTCAGAAAGCTGTACTGAGGTATTTGGGGTAGAAGCTGTGCTAATACCGAGCACGTGTGCTCACAGCACAGAGTGTGATCTGGAACAATGGGATCCGGAACATGAAATTAGGAGGGGGTGATGGACAAGGTAGTGGGAACACTAACAAATCAGGTCTCTGACATTTTGAAAAAAAAAAAAACCTCTAGTGTTCAAATCCTATCTTAAAAAAATGAATTTTTGAACAAAGTTTTGCTGTCACTATGTGACCTTGGATTAAAAGAAGAAAGATCATACGAAAACCTTGCTTTCTGAACAGTTGTGGATTTGGTCATACAAAAGAAATGTTCATCACGTTTACTTATGGATTTGCAGCAGATATTTCTATTTTCTCACAATTTTTTTTTTTGTCTGAGACAAGGTCTGTTTACCTGTCTTGATCTTTCATAAACCTGTACTCCTGGCAAAAGGTGAAGGGAGTGACTTATCTAGTTGGACAGAAAATTGACATTATAGTAAGAAAATCGGTTTTCCCTGACCAAACCACACTGTTCGCCCACTGATTTTTTCATTGGTCACATCAGGTTTGCCTTTTGCCCACCACGTGCCAAAAGGAGAGAAGTAAGCATTCACAAACCCTGAATTTAGCCTAATGGAACTAATTTTCCTTGGCCCCTTTGTTAGTAGGCAACTGTATCGCGTGTTTAAGAATTCCAGAAGTGCTTCCCAGTTATGCTTGGCTGGCATTGCCGTTCTAAGAAAGGGTGCTGTGCTTTGGAGAGAAAGACTAGGGATATAATAATATATAATAATATAATCTCCACACCTTTCTCCTGGCCATGTACTCTTGCAACTTGCACTCTTGATAGCTCTGGTACTTGTTTACCCTGACAATAACTTTCGGTTCATTATTCTGCCAAAAAGCTAACCCAGCAAAAACAAGTAAGTAACGTCATGTTAGATAAGTGGTCTAAATAGCTCCCTCTGCAGCCAGGCAAGCTTCAAGCACCTTAGTGAGGGGGAGAGTGGATTATGCATCTGGGAGCAGAAGTTAGAGAGGGCTTCTGCTCTCTGTGGCAACAAGGTGTTAAGTCTCCTGCTCCTCTGAGGAGTGAGTGGCATGAGGAGACCAATTTGTAGGGCAGGGTTAGCCCTCACAGGTATCTCCAATGTGTTATGTGATTCTAACACCTGGCATTGTTAATGCACTACAATGGCTCACATTTTTTTACTTCATGTTGCCCAGAAGTAATCTGAATGTTGAACTGACTCTGCTGGTTGTGACTTTAAATAACTCAGACTAAGGGTAGTGGTTAAAGCCCTGTTTTGAGTTGTCCTCCTTAAACTTGGAGATCCATTCTTCTGATTGCTCTCTGTTTCAGTCTCTTCCCAGTATTACTTTGGTAAGCTGTTTACCTGAAGTTGCAGCTGAATTTTTTTTTTTTTAATTTAGTGAAGTTCTGCAAGTCTGTAAGATTTATTATTCTTATTAGTTTCATTATAATCAATGCTCTTCCTGCCTCACTGTGGTTTTTAACTTGCTTTATAAGCACTGCTCTTCAGAATGTCTACAGTATTGTGACAGTAGTACAATGATTTGGGGGGGGGACAGACTTTTTTCTAGTTACAATTATGTAAAACTTTAGGAGCAAAACTAAATTTTTTCAAGATATAGCTGTTAGAGTTGGCTGTCTGAAAAGTCCAGCAGGTTCATAATTATATTTCATTATAGGGAAGCAGTAGTTAGTTATTTTGTTCATTAAAACATTTAAATAAATTCTGAAATAATAAGTGAGAGGAACATGGGGTTTGTCACTGTCAAACTCATTATGTATGGATAGCTGTAATTACTTTGCTGATGGCAGGGAACAAGCAGAATAAAATGTGTAGAGCATAAATCAAGTGTATTTTTCCATAAGAATTTTTCATAAAGGTAAGATACAGCCTGAAGTTCTTATTTCACCCCGTCAGGAGATTAGAACTGAGGTTTTTGATTTATGGTGGAGAAATGGCATGGTTATGAAGCTTGGATCTGGATACACATATACCCAAGCCTGAAGGGGGATTAAATTTAAGATTATGCATGGAGCACACTGTAAATGTTTCAGCTGGATACATTATATAGATAAATGCAGTCAAAGGAAAGGCTGTGTCTGAAGAGGTACTGTTCAGCAGAAAAAACCTAGAAAGCTTCTGACCCAATATTTCAATTTAGTGTGAAGGAATAAGCAGATTAATAAGACATCCTTTTTTCTATTGACTCAGCATTTTGCATTTTAAGAAGTTTGGCCTACAAATGGAATAGAAGACCAGTTTTTATTCCCTGTAGGAAAATAATTTATTGTGTTTTGTGGAAATTATAATAAAAATTACTCCTCTGTAATTTGTAACCCATATTGTAAGCTAATACTGCCTTCCACACAGAGCCATGATCTAATTTAAGAGCAGGACTGCTTTAAGCATGTTAAATTTTTGTTCATTTATTTGGGCTTTGGGGTTTTTTACTATAGACAAAATGGAGGGAGAAATGCTCTCAGTCAGTCAGCTAACTTCTGCCATGTTCCAAATTCTATACAAACAGAACCTAATCCTAATGTAAAATTGTATCCTAGTGTGCTTCTTAGTTGTAGTGCTTGTGCATGTTACAGTGCCTCTTGTATACAAAACTTTTTAGACCCATCAATACTTTTTTAGCTTTTTGGATTAGATGTCATTCTACTCAAAACACCTTGTCACCCACGTTATCAAACTTAAATAAAAATTGCCTGTGATATTACTTGGTTTTAGAAGTTTTATGATAGATGCAAGTCACTAAATACAGCCAGATTGTCCTAAAACTAGTGACCCAAAAGCTGCTAGGAAGTCTACTGTCTGACACGACAGTATTTAGAATCCACTCCTGTATTGTGCTGGTCGTTGTCTATTCCTTTAGAGATCTGTGGATGCTGAAGGTGTGTACAGCATCCCAAGAGCAGTAGGATTTGACAGTGAGGAGAATCACAGATGTGATTTTAGCTATTAAAAATGTATGCATGCTTAAGGTTCTTTGTTTTGTTTTTAAATGCACTTTTCTAGGCCTTTGATTGTTATCGGAGGTTCTTCTGACAGAAATCAGGAAACCATGGGAGCTTTCCAAGAATTCCCACAGGTACACAGACTTACAACAGAAATGTTTCAGTTAAATAATTGATGTTGTTTCTTCGTTATTGTAGGAACAACAGTCTCAAACACTAACATTTCCTAACAGATCCTATAATGCTGCTGATTTGCTCCATCTACTGGTTTAAAAGTGACAGTGTGTAAATACAGCAGATTGCCTGGAATGTACAAATGTACAAAGTACACACTCATGTAAATTACCTTTGTCTGTTCTGAAATGGAAAAAAGCAAAATAAACTTTCCAAAAAGTAAATACCACTTTCTAGAGGAAAAAAAAAAAAACAAAACAAACCCAAAAAGCTTAATCCATACCAAAGTATGGTTTTGACAGTTTCTACCAGCTGAGCTACTGCATTTTTCTGTGGGGAAGTTCTCACCTTGTTGCTTTTCATTTGACATTTCTTTAATTTTGTTCATGTTGAAATGAGATGGAAATGAGCAAATCACTTTGATAAATCGGTAAAATGGTTGTTTGCATTTATTCAGGTTGAAGCTGGTAGGCTGTACAACAAACTCTCTGTCCGCCCAAGCAGCCTGGAAGTTATTCCTGCTGTTATTGAAAAGGTATGAAAAAATACAAAATTGGCAACAGAACATCAGGTAACTGTCTCCTTCTGTTTAAGTTTTGAGGGTTTATTTTTGTGTAGTTGTTACTCGAAGCAGTTTTATCCTGCAGATATGAGGTGATGGTTGATTGTGTAAATTAACAACCAGGGAGATTTCTCCTAGGAACAATGCTACGGAATAGGTTAGAAATAGATTCTGATCCAATCTGACACTTACTGATCCCTGCAGTGTTTTTTTTCTTAGCCTCAAGCAGGAAAATTTTTATGAAGTAAATGCTCTTAGGGAGAGGTGCAATGACTGCAAATGGAATACTACAAACTTCAGCTGTTACACCATTCCATGTGAAGGAGATTTGGAAGGGGAGGCAGTGGACATGGTTGTATTTGGGTTTTGAGTTTGGTTATTGCTTTGTTGGTGGTTTTTTTTGAGACTGAGAGAAAACACATCCTTATCTCAGTGCTTCAGAGAGGATTAGCAAAGTCTCGTGGTACTGCTGCAGCAGCAGCACTTCAGCCATGTCAGCCTAAAATCTGCATACTATGATACTGTTTCCAGAAGTGCAAATTCAGTGAAACATCTACCTGCAATAGAAGAACTGGAATCAAAAGTAATAGAAAATGGAGGCATTGGTTATCTTGGTTTTTCTCTGTTTGTGCTGCTTTAAGTAGAATTCAACATGAACAGCTAATAATGCAGTTGTCTATTTTAAATTAAACAAAGAATTTAGACTCTAATACTGTACATCTGCTGAAAAGCTCCAGCAGGTATATAAGGGAAAATGTAAATAGCTGTCAAAACTTTAATTGTTTGATATAAATCACTCCATGGAAGCTGTGTTCATCAGCAGTATGAAACAGTGTATCTTCTCTGCCTACAGAAGAGTTTTCTTGCCTTTTTAAACTATTTTTAAAATCCTGTCAAGCAGTAATTAAAACTGTGATTGTCTGTTTCCTAGGCTGTAAGAACCAGCATATATGGTCGTCCAGGTTCCTGCTATATTGACATACCTGGGGACTTTGTGAATCTTCAGGTGAATAAGAGCTCTGTCAAGTGCGTAATGATTACATTCATTTTTCCAGTCACTGAATAAAAGAAAGTAGAGTTATAAATTGCTTTTATATTTTATTTTCCTAAAGCAGGAAAATGCAGCCTCTAAATGTAACACTCCATTGTAATGTGATGCAGATTACAGTTTGTAAAGAAATGTGCAAAACCAGAATGAATTAATATGGTAATATAATCATGTCACTCTGTAAATCTCTGGAACAACACTATCCGTAAGATTAAAGAAACAAGGAAGACAAACTTCAAAGCTTGTTTTAAAAAAAAAAACACCTACTCTAATAAATGCTGTAATGTGTGTAGCAACTGCAATTTTATGCTAAACAGTAGATTTGTCTTTCAGCATTTCTTGTTTTGAATTTTTTTAAGAGGTTCTTTTGTTTTGCTTTTCTTCAGGTATGTGGAATGCTGCCTGCCACCTCCCATCAGCATGGCTGAACACTCTGCTGTATCCAAAGCAGCCTCTATCCTTGCTCTTTCCAAGCAGCCTCTGCTAATCATTGGCAAAGGTGCTTTGATGTAACTTGGAACCGTACAAATCCGGGACAACAGTGACCAAGCTATTGCTTTTCACCAGAAGCGTTACCTTCTTTTCACCTTTAGTCAAACAAACAAACAAACAAACCAGTAGCAAAACACAAACTTCTTTGGAATTTGATGTTAACATCTGCTCTAGTTTTAGAATATTTTTATTCTGCTTTATAGCTGTTGTCTTTTTCATCTAGTTTAAGGGAAAAGTCAATTGATAAAATAGAAGTTTACGTAGAAAAAAAATGGATAACAGTTGTCTTTAAATCTAAAGCCAAGGGATTGCTTCCAAAATTCCAAACAAATTCTGTTGGAATACAGAAATTATATTTTCTATCTGATGCTCTGATATATATATAGCAAAAATAAGAATAACCAAAGGTCATTTTTTGATTTGGTCTTACTGAAACTGCCACCCTACCTGTGTGGGGATATAAAGCAACACAGCAGGTGTTGCTGTTATTGCTGTTTTACAGACTTTCCATTCTACTCTACCACTGTAATTAATTCCTGAAGTAGAGGTACCCCTGACGATAGAGGATAATTATTCTCTATACTGGTTCTCTTGTTTTGTCCCTCCTTGTGGAATGTTAGCCAGTGCAGTGGTGCTGAAGATACAGGTCAGCTCAGAACAGAATTGAAATAACCAGCTTGTTTAACCCAGATTGTTTTACTGCAGATGTGGCAACGCTCTGTGTCTGTGTTTAATTAGGGAGTGCAATGATTGAAATGAGATGGATCTTATAATGGATGAGGTAATGAAATTGAAAACAGAATCAGGAGATCAGGAGAGGTTATGGGTATTTTTTCTCTGTGTCTGGCTTGGCACACATGAACAAAAGGATGTTGTTTGAAAGTGAAAGGCAGAAATCAGCCCCTCAAAAATACATAGATCTGTGTTTTGTTGATGTGAACAACTGAGAATCTACTCAACAAATGCATCTGGATTTTGTGCCATATATTGTTGTTAGCAGAATTTTCGAAATACATACAAAAGTCTATACTTCAGGATTTAAGACTCACAGCGCTAGGACCAGTCAGTTATTCTAGACTGCCTGGACAGGCTTAATTCAGCAGCCATGTACTGGAGGTAGCATCACATTGAAGGTGTGCACAAACACAAACCTTTACAAGGTCTTCTTTTGGCTGCTCTCTTTTCATTAGAGGCTTGTTGGAAGCCTCTTTGGGCAGATTTCTGTGGAGGATGGTACAACAGCATGCAGGGGGCAAGCGAGAAGTGACATGACATGACACAAAAGCCATTGCATGTTGCTGCTGGAGAAGCCTCTGCCCCATAATACCAAACTTTACCCACTAAAAATTGTCATTCTAGATAAACAAAATAGGTAAATAGTTCAGCCGAAGTCTTAAAAAAAAAAAAAAAGAAAAAAAGAAAACAAACAAAAACCTTTTTGTCAGAAACATAAGACATTTTAAACCCCAATCTGTGTAGGTTTGAATGTTAGGTTTTGAGTTCTTCAGAAGGAAAAATGACAGGCAGCTTTCATAATGGGAAACAGTACTCTTTCTGCCAGTGATGTTATCAGGTTAATTGAAGTTCAATAGAATGCCGTTGGTTTCTGTACTATTAAGCAGTCTCTTTCATTTCATTCAGGTGCTGCTTATTCACATGCTGAAAACAACATCAGAAAGTTGGTGGACCTTTGTGGACTGCCTTTTTTGCCCACGCCAATGGCAAAAGGAGTAGTTCCTGATAACCATCCAAATTGTGTAGCTGCAGCAAGATCCACGTAAATATAAAGCAAGGTTTCTCATCCTAACATCTGAGGAACAGCTAGGGATTTTGGTGGTCTACAGGTGGCAGGGAAGACAAAATGCATACAGCAAAAAAATTTTCAAGCATGTTTCGCACCTCCTCGTGGAGCACTGAAGATCTTGCTTGGAAAGGGACAACATATTTAGGCGGATCACTTTAGAATGCTGACCAGGAAGATGCTTTATCTGAGAGCTAATGTTCTGTAACTCTGAAAGCTATGGCAAGTAGATGTATCAAGGTAGCTAGTATGTGTTTCATAACATAAAATAGAACTGGCAAACATTTTATTTTAAACAGGCACTAGACAAACTACTGGCTCTTTATTTTAACACTGTAAACAGAAGCTCGAGATGCACACGTTGCAGCTGAAGTTTGGCCATCTGCTGTCTCTGTAGGGTATTTGCAAATACACTATCAGTACATTGCACTTTATTTATACAGAAAAACAAGGTATTTCAAACTACACTGAATGACTGTGTTTAAAGTAGTTTGTAAGAGCTTTTTTGGGCTTTTGGCAAAATTGATGTGAATGGACTCTAAGAGCCCTAGTGTGTATGGATATGCACAGAATCAGCTTGCAGCTGAGATTAAAATATTGTCCATTGCTGAGCGTCTTAGCTTTATCACTGTTAAGTGTGCAGTTAAAAAAAAAGGAGAATAAAAAAATACAGGAAATGTTGTCTGCCCATCTGAAAGGTAAATTAACAGGTGACTAAACTGAGGGGTCCACAAATCCTAATTTTGGTACCCACTGTTGCCAGTGTCACAATAGTGAGTGTTTTGCTTTAACCTCAGCATCGTTATAACATCTTGTTGGTCTCCTGATGCAGCGATTCCTTTCCTAAACACAGTGTATTAGGAAAGTACTAATTAATTTTCCTCTGAAGTTCCTAAGCTCAAGAATGGCTTGGTGATTGACTCGGTAAAAGGATACAGGGTTTTGGGGCTAAGCAAGCATCTTAGAGGAAGGAAGGATTTTATATATATACTGGGGTTTGCTGTGGTGATTAGGATTGCTTCTACTTGTGCAAAGACTATTAAGTGTAGTAATAATTCCTTCTTTTCTAATTCTTTCATTTCCCTTTATTAGGGCATTACAACATGCTGATGTAATCATCTTGCTTGGTGCAAGGTTGAATTGGATTTTGCATTTTGGTCTTCCACCAAGGTTTCGACAGGATGTAAAGGTTATTCAGGTAAGCAGGAAAATTATTTTCACTTAAAGCAAGTCTTCTGTGTTCTAGCATTGCCTAGAACAATCATTGCAAACTATTTTGGCAGTGTATTTCATATGGCAAATACTGCCCTACAGATAGTGCATATATTTAATTGTAATTCTCCAGAAATACTTATGATTTCTTTAATAGTTTTTATTTCTTTCTAGTTTTTTTCTAAGAATGGTTACAGCAGTGTTCCTGGAGGGCAGACACTTCTACGTAGTTGACTAATACAGAATTAGACTCCCGATACTTTTGTGGTCTTTGGAGCACTGGAATTTCCATGGTTGAAAGCAAACTGTCTTTGAAATTGTGAAATCTTTCATACCCTTTGATGTTCTCTTAGCTGAATTTTTTTTGAAATAAAATTGCTTTCAGATCCCCAGTCAGTCATAGTATAAGAAGTCAGTTACTCTGAAATGTTAATAAGAAAAGAGGCAGAAAGGCTATTTAACTAATTAATATATTTGACAATCTGCCAGCTCGTAGAAAGACAGGTCTTTAAATTGTTTACGTCCTTAAAATCTCCCTAAGAGTCTGTGACGAAATACGAGTGTAGTGGCTGGCCTGCTTACACTGATCTGGAACATGATCTCAAGTCCAGACTTTACATCTTTTCTAGAGCAATAGCATAAATTTTTAAGCTACATTTTTACAAATATACATCTTATTTTTACAAATATTATTTTTACAATTTTTTCGAAAGAATGTAAAGAAAATATTTTTTTCACTGTCCAAGATTAGTGTAAAGTCCTGTCAGTTCATAGTTTGTGTGACCTGGCTGTAAGTTAACTGTCTGTGTAACCTCAGAGGTTTCATGCATCACTGATAAAGCAAGTGGAGAAGTTGCTTCAGTAGTTGCAACTTACTTTTCAGTTTCTTCATGCTAGCTAATTTTTTACTTTCAAATAGCATTCACGCAATTTTCTTTGAAGGAAAATTACTGCTTTGTTTAGACTTTAAGGGTATATCTAAGCCTAGATTTTTAGTTATCATGTAATTATTGCTAAAATCACCACCTTCTTCTCCTTAATGCACTAATAAAGTTCTGTAGTGTCTGCAAGAGCTTGAAAGATCCAAGCAGTCAGTTTTAAGGATATGTGTGAACTTTTATTAAAATAGGCGTTTACTTTGAATAAAGGATTTCCTGATGTAATTTAAAGAAAGGCAGCCAAAACAAGGTACGAGGACAACGTTAGACGTGTATTTATGTTAGACAGTGTTTCTCACTTGAACTGAAAAATAAACAAATCTCTTTAATGTTCTTGAGTTAATGGTGGTCTTTCTTTTTGAAATATAGGTCGATATTTGTGCAGAAGAGCTGGGGAATAATGTAAGACCTGCTGCAATTTTATTAGGTGACATAAACGCCGTGACTAAGCAGGTAACGTAATGTCCTGTGTCCTCTTGTTTTGACTTTAATTTCCTCTGATTCATATAAAGTAAATTGCCACTTGAAAGCAAAGGAAAAAAACCCCAGCTGTTCAAGGAAAACCATTTTTCAGGCAGTAACTGGATGCTGTGCATGCAGTCTATTCTCAAATTATGTGTTAAAGATTCTGATTAGTATTACAGTGATTGTGCTGGGATCTTTCTTGGTAACGTTATTCTTGATGCTTGTTTTTTAAATATGTTGGAAGACATCTCTATAATCAATATTGTTCCAGCTCTTAGAAGAATTCAGCAAAAGATCGTACAAATATCCTTCTAATTCAGAGTGGTGGAAGAGGCTAAGAGTGAAAATGAAGAACAACGAGGAAAGATCAAAGGTAGTGTTATATTAAAGAAAAGAGAAGGTTTCTCACTTTACCAGGTACTGATACATTGTCAGTTTTGTCACTTGTCTGTATCCAGTCTCCTCAATTACTTCTCAGTCATGTTACCCAGACTTCGAAAATTTATACCATTCTGGTACAGGCTTACTCTTCTCAGGCTTATGAACTGTAAGTTAAGTATTACAGGTTAAAGTATTCTATTATTTTGTATAAATTCAAACCATGTGGAGGTCATTGAACTTTGGGATTGGGTTCTTAAAGCCAGTAGTGGAAGACCGTAGCGGGAGCTGCTCTGATGAATAGATTGCGTTACCAGGATAGATACAGAAGGAGCAACATTGATGTAGTGCATGGGAAACCAAATGTTTCATCTTTACCTAGCAGAGTGCATTCTTATTTCCATTGTTATTATTTAGGTGTCTCAGTTCTGCACTTTGTTATAAATTCTATCCATAAGAGTTACTGATATCTCTTATTTTTCAGGAATTAGCATTACAGAAATCCCTGCCTATGAATTATTATACAGTCTTTCATCACATCAGAGAACTGATACCCAAAGACTGCATTTTAGTAAGTGAGGGAGCAAACACCATGGACATTGGACGGACTATGCTTCCAAATTACTATCCCCGTCAAAGGTGTGGTATCTTTTGTGTTGTGCTGACTCAACAGGCTAGAGCTATGTATAAATGTTTTCATTTAGCTGAGAAGTATGATAGTCCAGAATTTTTGTAATTCTTTTTAAAGAGTCTAAATAAAACAATAGAAGTTTAGCATGTTGGGAAAGGGGTTAAGGAAAGTTTTCGACCTGTATACTCATGTTCTGTCGTAGATTTTAACATTTCTCTGCACGCTCTGCAACAGAATGGTGTTGGTTGCTCAGTCTCTTGTGGAAAGTGAGTGGCATTATGTTGAATTCCCTGACCTAGATGTTTATTTCTGTGCTCAGAGTCTGTGGTAAATTTTGATTAAAAATGAAAACGATCATTAGAATTCTTATGTTGGAAAGAATTCACATGAAGAATTTTTCTTTGAAACACTTCAGAATAGGGAAAATAGGGATTGTATATTGGACATGCCTTTATGTAAACCTCCGTGACTAAAATGTAGGTACTCATATTTGGAAGGGTCACTTTAATCATTATGTGTAGTCTCGTTTTAACATTAGTGGGAGTTAGATGCTGGTTTTTGAATGGGGGAAAAAGTGAGTTTTTCTGGTGATGTGAAATTTCTCAACTGTGAAGCTTATGCCTGCTTGTGAAAGTAGCACTAAACTCCTAAACAAACCTAAATACTTTGTAAACCGAAGTGCTTTGTTAACAAAAGACAACCAACAGCCAAAGCAAACCCCGCCCACATACTTCCAGTAACACTGGGGTAGACTTTGCATCTTTTTCCCCCTTATTTAAAGTAAGGACACAGTAATGTTAATGGTTGTCTTTTCAGACTGCATTCAGACTGCGCATATCTGAAAGCAAATTTGAGAAGTTAACCCTAAAATAATCTAGTTCTTTATGTACTTTTGTATCCATTATGTGCTTCTGATTGAAATGATCTAACTTAATTATAGCTTTCAATTTGATTTCAAACTGGTTGAACAGAAGACTAAAATTTGAACAGCAGTATTTAATCAATGGCTTTCAGACTTGTAGGTATATTTTCAAGGAATTAAATATAGAAATATTTCATGTTGTCTGTCTGTCTCTACAGTAATTGAATGTTTTTGAAATATTGTTACTATGCAAGCTAAAAGCATATGAGAATAGGTCTTTATTGTAGTACAACTAGTGTACAAGAGTTCTTAATTTTAATTAGAGTTCCATTATGTTTATATCACTTTAAACATTTGCTGTCTTATCAAATGATCGGCTGACTATAATAATCTGTACATCTGATATTTCTGTATACCAGTTATTTATGAAACAATATTTGAATAGTGTATGGCAAAGTATTAAAAGTAAAGGTAATTCACCATGGATTAATTGAAGAGACTGAGTGGAAATAAAGGGATAGTAATTCTGTATTCTCCCCTTTAGGCTTGATGCAGGTACTTTTGGAACAATGGGAGTGGGGCTGGGCTTTGCTATAGCAGCTGCAATGGTAGCCAAAGACCGAGCACCTGGAAAGAGAGTCATCTGCATAGAAGGAGACAGTGCTTTCGGATTTTCTGGCATGGAGGTGGAGACTATTTGCAGGTAACTGGTTTTTTTTGCTCAAGAAGAGCAAGCAACAACTTTGTGTGTTGCCAGGATCACTTTAACTCAAGGCTAAGGATGCTGCTTTTAGATGGGGTGCCCATAAACCACATGAAAAAAAAGCCAAAAAAATATAAATGGTCATTTTTTATGTTGTTATGACATAGTGCTCTACTGGTGAGGATTAGATCATGTTTCAGGTGAAAGTGATTTTTTTATTTATTTATTTTCCTTTTAAAGAAAATTAACACTTCTAACATCTTACAGAAAGGGGCAAATATATCAGAATTCTTCCAAATGTGTCTTTTTGTAGGTACAATTTGCCAATCCTGATTATCATAGTGAACAACAATGGGATTTACACTGGTTTGGATGCAAATTCCTGGAAGGAGATGTTAAAGTTGGGCAATCCTGCTACATGGTAAGCATCTCCAGAGTATGTCCTGTTAATTACAGAAGAAGTGACCAAAATGGTCATTCTCTTTATTTTTAATGCTTTGTAATTCAGATTGAAATTACTTTTAGAAAGCAAATTTAGTCCTGGGCTAAATTCATATAAGTAAGAACCAGTTACCAAAAGCAAGCAGCCAACCAAATTCCAGACTGTTGTTTGCACCACAGAGCAGTAGAGAGATGATTCTCTGTTAGCTGTCTCAGGTTCCTGCAGCAGTTCAGGCTGCACAGTAGAGAGCTGGTAGTGGGCTAACCTTCAAAATCATGATAATCTCCAAAATTACCCGAATTCTGAGTTTACACCGAAGTTCTGCTTCTGGAGCTGAGATCTCTGTACAAAGAGAACTTGGCTAAAGCTTTGGAATGTCTCCAGAAGATGAAAGTGAGCATGGTACCCTATTAACATACCTTAAGTGATACATGAACCATAGTTCTTTCAACCCAGAAGAATTCTACAGGCCAGTACAACCATCTTGCACTTTAAAGTTGGTGCTGAAGTAATTAAATTGGTCTGTTGGTGGTTCCTTGCCATTAATCAGGTTTTCCATTGTGTTAACAGTGTACCTCCTGTTTCCCTCCTGCCAAATTCACACTATGAGGAAATTATGTCTACCTTTGGAGGTAAAGGATACTTTGTTAAAACACCAGAAGAACTGCAGAATGCTCTGAAAGCAAGCTTGACTGACAAGGAAACACCTTCTCTTATTAATGTAATGATTGATCCACAATCCGAGAGAAAGAAACAGGTATCCATATGTTTTCTTTTTTTTTTTTTTGGCTAACTTCATGTTGGTGAGCTTTTGAAAACCTCAGGAAGTATCACTTGAACCTCAGAGAAGGCAGAGATAGTTGCAAGGCAGAAATATTGTGTTTAAATTTGGGGGAAGGGAGAATGGGTTCTTTTACGCTGTGCCGTCTGCTTTCCTTGTTACTTGCTTGTTTGGGTTTTTTTCCCCCCCACTGGCTGTTTTTAATGCACAGTGTTCTTCATGACTGTTTCCAGAATTTAGGGTTATTCCTTTTCATTCTTGACAAAATGAGATGAAACATTTTTGAGCAGTCTTTGTATCCTATGCATTCCATCTGGTAGTTAACTGTTCCTCTTACTCTTTGCCCATTCCATTATAGTTTTTATTCTGTGTTGGTTTGTTTTTTTCTTCCAGGAATTTCCCTGGCTGACTCGTTCTAACCTGTAGTAGAAGAGGAAGATGATGGTGGTGCAGGGCAGTACGTTAAACAAAACTGAATTGGTTTCTGGAAGTGGAACTGATACAACTGTATTTTACATAGGCATTGGAACAAAGTGGGATTTAGAACTGCTATTAGAGGAATCTTTAAATGCTAAAATGAGCTAATTGTATAATGAGAAAGACACATATGAATGTATAACAGGCCTTCTAGCAGATTGTGCAGAAACACTGATGATAAAATTACAGTTTTTCTTTTACTCAGAGTAATTCCCATCATTTGTGAATTAAAATCTTGGATGTCCTGGATGAACAGAATAAGCTGAGGGTTTTATGCTGACACTGAAACATGGAAGTCTTTGACAGTCTGCAACTATAGTAGTTTCATTCTTAATCAACCACCAACGTGATACTTGTTAGAGACTTTGTCCTCTAAGAACCAAAAAAAAAAACATCTTATGCAAAAGTCTTGCTTGCTCTCATTATGTGTCGAAGCCCATTGCATTGATAGTAGCTTCCTAATTTTACAGATTCTTTTTCAGCTTCTACTAAATGTAGAAGTAGTGTATTAAAAATCCAGACTTACTCAAGGGCTAAACTTCTGTCTACTGAATTTGGTTTTGTTAACTGGGACTTATGGTGCTTGTTGGAAAGTAAAATCCTAGATCTTTTTTTGAAGGTTTGCTCTTCACACAAACACTGTTATCCCCGTAGGTTGAAAATGTGGCTGTATTTATTATATATTATATATGTTATGAGATTTCCAGGATTAATAGTTTATAAATCTTTATAATTAGAAGTATTAAAAAAAAAAAACACTACTACCACCATCAAAACAACAACAACAAAACAAAAAAGCACCAAAAAAGTCCCAAAACACAATTTAAAAAAATTCTTCACCAGACCAACAGCAACAAAAAAGTGTTAGACTGAACCATAATGTTCATTTTGGCTGGCATCACAAAGCAACCACCAGTGGTCTAACTGTGCAATAAAGGTTCTTCATACAATTTTCTTACTATATAGAAACCCAGTGTCCATCTTACACTGGCTGTGGTGCAGAGGCAACATTTAAAGTAGATAATTGGCCAACCTGTGGCTCTGTCTACTGTGTTTTCATCTGTTGTTGCATCCAGCAATCTGACTTAGACTTTAAAAGTGAAGTAGTTCTTTCTCTATCCCTCTGTCATGACCTACAGCAACTGCTATTCAGGATACTACTAAACACTTACATTTACACCGTTCTTAAATGCACTGGGAGGTTTTTCATTGTTACATATGCAAAAGGGAAAATTCTGTCTCTGATTTGGGTTTTGATTGCCTTGGTTTTGAGTTATTCCATTGACTAAAGTTAGTTAACTACTGGAAGGCACTTGGATGACCCAAGGAAGAAGAGGACTGGACTGGCAGGGGATCACTGCCTCCATATAGGTTTGTTGCAAAGGCTTATTTTGTTGGATCTTGCACTTCAGTCTGGGTCTGGCACGAGGCCATGGGTTACTGTTAGGCAGGAATGTCTCTGCTCACTGATACAGGAAGCTAATATCTGATATGAGCAAGAGTACCACAGTCTGACCAGAGGTACCACTGCCTGTTAGTTGTGTGGGAATTAGGAATAGCCACGTGGCACTAAGAATGCTGGAGTCAAGAAAGGTAATATCCTTAGGAAGGACAAAGAAGTGCAAAAGGATAAAATCCCAAAATGGATATAACTCACAAATGTAAGGCTGCTGAGATGCAGAGTCGCTGTGTTCTCTGGGGTGCTCTGCAGGGAATGTGGAACAGTGTTGGATCTTGTCATTAATTTTGTTTCATTCTTATTTTTGTCTCTCAAATTGATTTTGATATGTTGCAGTGATTAAACACAATCTATTATGATGGTGTAAGGTGTCTATGTATTTACACCATCTATTGTGATGGTGTAAAGTGTAAGAGTTAATGCTGGAACTGATCACAGGGGAGATAATTTGCATTGGATAAGCAAATGCATAAATTCTTATTTTGTACTTGAAAATTAATAAAAAGTGATTTTCATGCTGTTTCTCCTTTAGTAAGAGTATTTGAATTATGTCAGCATTTTGTTTCAGCTGTTGGAAATCAGCTTATATGTTGGATTTCTAGAAGAGTTGTTGAATGGCTACAATAACAACCACCATTCATTTTAATAAGTCAAGACATATGGAAAATGGAAAGCAAAGAATTTGAAACTGTGGGAGGTGTTAACATAATGGATAATATCAGTTTCGATTTCACTGAGCTTTTAAAAAGCTCAAAAAAGGATTAACACTGCATTTCTTATTACCTTAGGAAGACTTAATACCATGATAACATAGAAATTCTTGTGTTATCGTGATTAAGGTATTTGAGATGAGAGAGTGCAGTTTCCACATAAGACTGAGGAGAGTGAAGTCTGTGCTACTTTTATAGCTTATCTGCTTGATATTATGTTTTACGCTATGGAGTTAATCTAAGTGCATGAAAGAGAACAGTTTCAAAGCTGAGACAGAAACAAGCTATCTCTGAAATGTCCTAATTTTATTAAAAGGAGCAAAAAATTACAGATGTTGTGAGTCTGGAGAATGCTGAGAATCCATGTGGCTCTAGCCAACTGGAAGTTTTCCTTAAAGGCCAGAACATGGAATTAAAGGTATTAACCAGACTCAACACACCAAACTCAAGAGGAAATAAGTGCCTGGACCTCCACTGAGGGAAGATGATTTGGAAGAGATACCGAACGTAATTTTCTGAGACGTACCAAGAGGAGTGTTTAAATCAGATGCAGTTATGAGTCTCTTTCTTTTTGTGGCTTTCAGGTAAATAAAAAACACTTGAAATGTTGTTGTATGTGTTTTGGGTGACCTCCATCAATCGTTAATCTAGTTCCTGTGAAGACTTTTCTCACAGAGGCCTGCCCGGTTCACAGGGTTGGGAAGCCCAGAAGTTCAAGACAAGCAGCACTTGTCCTCTTTGAAGAGACATGAAAGGGGTTGGAACCTGGGACCAACGAGTGGTACAGGAAAAGTGTTACAAAGATGGCCAAAACCCAGCAGGTAATTTCATAATGGGACCAGAGGTGAAACTATCAGCAGCCTCAACAAAACAGCCTGGTATGAGGAATAAAAAGTAATGTTTGTTACTGTCTTAGCACCTCACAAAATAGTGCAAGATTTTGAGTATGTGTTCCTGCAGCCTGTCTGCTTGCTAACAGGTTTAGTTTACAGTAATTAAAAACTTCTTAATAATTTTGTTTCACCTTCAGTCTGCAGAGAATTCTGTAGACTGCCTGCCCTGTGAACATTTGGGTGTAGGGCATGTCTACTTGTCTTAAGTTGTTATGGCCATATAGCATATATCCATTTTGATGAGGAATCAAATGTATATTTGGTCTGGCTAGGTTTGAATTTAAGCACCCATACAAAACCCCAAATACACTTTAAGCAAGCAGTAATGCCTCTTCAGATCTGCCACTCTGTACTCAAAAGCAACAAGCACACCCTGGCTTTAAGGCATAGTAAAAGTCCTATTAAGAATGATGTCCTCTGCCCTGACTACATCATTCTTTTATATGTTGTAATCAAAATCCCCATTGCAGCTCTTTCTATGCTATTTAAAGAGCTTGGTGGCTGTGCTTAGTAGAGAAAACAGTGCTTGGCCCTCCTCTACTTAGTGATGTTCTGAGATCAGATGAGGTATCAAAGCTGAGCTTCTGTATGACATACAGGCAATGTGACTTCTGTCAATTTACTTACTTAAAACTGAATATTGTAATGAGTAAGAAATTCTTTTGATGATTAGATTGAAACCAGATGGACAAGGTTTCAGCCATCCTCAGTAAAGCAGACCCTTCCAGTTAATAATGGCACATACTAATATAAATATTGCAGTGTCTGTTCTTTCCAGGAATCTCTAAGTTGCCTGAAACAGTGCCAAAATAAGTAAGAGGAATTAATAGAATGATGGTTTGCTTGCTTAAGTCAATATTCTGAGAAATTTTGGTTTTCATCAATCTTTTCAAGGGGATGATAGAGAAGACAGGAAAGCACACTTCTGAAAATGTTGCAGTTCTTTTCCTTTTTGTCAGCTATAGGATGTCTGAACAATCCAGCTAGAAATTATTGCTTAATACCTTGGGTCATATTCTAAACTGGATGCAGAGAAGAGATGCTTTTGAAAACAGGATATGAATTGCAGTATTTTGGAGCTGAAGAAATGGATTAGCAGTTTTAGGATTTTGTAAATGACTGGACACAAAAATGTCAGCAGCTTAACCATGTTTGCACACAGCTGATGGCAGATTTCCTGTAGTACTTAATGCTGGTAATATTACCAACATGAGGAAGGTAGAAGACTCACATAAGCCTTTGTACATCTCCTGTGTACACAGCAACATAAGTCTTTGTGGCTTTTGATTCCGGAAAGCAATCACCGTTCCCGGGCATGAATTTTGTGTGGTGACTACCTGTAGTTGCTGTTGGAACATGAAACTTAGCATAACCTGCAAGCCTACCTGGGAACAAAGCTGTTGGGCAGAGAGGCCCTTCTGTTCTCCTATGGCTACAGTGGGTTTGCTTCCCTCTGCATCACCCTGCAGCTCTTGTGGTGGTGCAGTGTCGACATACACTCAGGCAGTCATCCAAGCTAGAGCTTCACAGTGTCTGCATGCAAGTACCTCTTTAATGAAATCAGCATATTAATTTTCAAAAAATTACACTTTCTCAAGTGTTTGAAAAACTTGTCTTCTGTCTCCTTTGCACTATCATTAAGATCAGGTGCATGTATGGCATTTTATAAGCCTTGGGGGTAGGAGGTGCTGATACCAGTACTGGTGGAGTTGCAGGCACACCTCAGGTTCCAGCCAAAGCGGCGCATTCTTCTTAGAGAAAGGAGCCATGGCAGCTGGGATTTAGGTATGAAAGCCTCCTTAGGCAGGCCATGAACCTTGTGCTTGCTCTGCAAAAACAGGGTTATCATTTAAGTGGTCAGAAAATTAGTAAAAACCATGTTAGGTAAAATTAATATTTCATCCCTACCAGAGATTTAAAGCTATCACACCTAAGCAGCTAATGCTGGGCCTCATCCTATTTAGTTGAAATCTTATTACTGCTTTTAGTATAAGATACCTGTTTTTTTCTCAAAGTTTTCATCCCTGTGTGCCGAATTGTGCCAAATTGCTGTTTGGTAGGGATGTCTTAAATACAAATGATTGAAACTTCAAAAGTAGGACTTTATAATGGAAATGTAATGCAACCTTAATTACAGTTTCCTGATTCTGCAAGGAGTGCTGGGAAAATACACTTGTCTAGTTTGGTTAGGTTCAGTTATCCTCTGTTTGGAAGATGACAACCCTGGCATCCTGGAATGTCTGGGCAATGTGCTGTGCCCAGCCATTTTCTATGGCTGCCACGGCAACAGTGTGCCCTGGCCTTCAAAACTTGAAGCTTTGTAAAAAGACAAAGCCTCTCCATTTCTAGCCTGAACCAGCATGTCTTGAAATCAGAATGAAATTTGTCATCAGCTTACAAAAACAGGGCAGTTTTAAAAAGTGGAAGTAGGTTGTCCAACAGCTACCGTGCCAGAGAAGTCTCACTGAGTTCTGCTTGCTGTAGTGTCACAGTCAGCACTTGTGGCTGTCCATTTGCTTAAAAAAAAAAGCCCACAAAAAAATTAAAACCAGCAAGCAAATTTGGCAACGTGCTGCTACTTTCTTCCGTTCTTCTGTGACCTATTTCTTTACCTATCCCCAGCTTTTTAACGTTGCTTCTTTTGTCAGGCCTTTGGATAAGCCCACGAGTGTTTGTCTACTACTGCTCCCCAGGTGGATTCAGCAGCTCTGCTCCTGGCTTTGCATTC